TCGGAGCAGCTGTGGCTGACTCAATAACATAAACAGTAAAAGGGAACCTGGCTGCACTCACCATTTAATCAACACTGGCTCTGCCTGTTGGAAGATGGATACTCACCGGACTACAGTATCTGTTACAGTGAGAGAAACAGATTCACCGTCTCGTAATTTCACTCAAAGCAAAGACTTCGCTTTCACCTGACACTGCCACACGACGGGAAGCTGCCGTGAACGACCGGGCAGATCGGACGCAAGGAGTTCATTTTAGCCTAAAATAGTCGTCGTTGAGTTGTCATCAAAACGTATCGGGTTTTAAACTATCATAGTGTTAAAAAAGTCCTTTACTGTCGTCAAAATCAAGTCTCCAGGCCTGAGCACTCCCTCAGGTATGTTAGGATTTGGTCAAAAAAAGGTCCGCGCACCTTATATTTGAGATTATATGTTCTTTCTCTCTGTGTTTATCTGATATCCAATCCTGACTTTTTGGACGTGTCTCACAGCTCTGTTCTCTGATCGACTGGTTTCTGAGGCGTCTTTAAATGGTGATGAGGTCATGAACAAGCCCCGCCCACTTCCTTCATGGGGGGAAATAAAACTGGCAATGGTTTCTCATAACCATGGTAACGGTTGAGCGGTTAGAGTGAAATGGTGTCTGGTAGACAAGGACAAGACTCAAGTGTTGGTTCTTTTGTTCCTGAAGAAGAAGATGAAGGAGAAGATGTACAGACTCGCTCACTGTCTCCCCCTGGAGGGGTGAGGTGGAGATGTCACAGATGGAGGAGAGGAAGAGCTGAGACCAGAGAAGATTTATGGATGTAGTTATGGAGGACATGGACATGGACATGGACACGGTTGGAGTAAAAGTAGAGATCAGGTGAACTGGAGACAGATGATGCACTATGGCGACCCCTGCAGGGAGAAGCTGAAGAACGTCTTTGTTGTTGTTTTCATGACAGGACACACTGACTGTCCTTCAGAGATTCTGACTGGATTTCTATGACGGAACAAGAAACGTTAGGTGAGAGAATTGACCAAGAAGTTGAGAAGAACTCTTTATGGTCGATATGAGTTTGAACTCTTTATGGTCGATATGAGTGGGAAATAATCTGATAGATTTTATAAACATTTCTCAACAGAAGTTCAAATAAATCAAATAATTCTTATTATACTTTTGAAGTGTGTTTGAACTGTGGCACCGAATGACAGTGAACACGTTTTCTCTACTGTACAGTACTGATGTATTACAGTACACAGTATCAGACACTGTACAAACAAATACTTATGACACAGTGCTACAAATGTGCCACAGAGGGCGTGTCCAGAGGTGGATGGTCCATGAGTCTGCCTGTGATTGGCCGGCTCTGTTAAGAGTGGCCTTCCTATTGGTTAGACTTAGGGTGTGTGTCTGCTGACAGAGCCAATGCCAGCGGCTCTGTGAGCTGCAGTTACCTCTGCCTCAAATGAAATTAAAATACTGTATCCTCTCAAGCAAGACTGAAACACAGCCAAGAAACTCCAGCAGCCCCCCCCTCCACCCTGACCCCCTCCTCCTCCTCCCTTCATTTGAAGGGAGAAGAAGAAGAAAAAGAAGAAGAAGAAGAAGGAGAGGACAGTTTGATGCTCTTCAGTTCTAAAGCCTGAGGAAAACCTGGATCAACTCCCAGGAGTCGTCGGGGAGGAGAGACCCACCGTTCACACTCACATTCACGCTCACATTCACACCTGCCGTCGATCGAGAGTGAACGGTTACCTAAGAAGCATGTTTGTTTTTTGACTGCGGAAGAAAATCAGAGGAACGAACAAACGCAGAAAAGAATAAACTTCAGATGGGATCGGCGACCTTACTGATGTAAGGCAAAATGACTAACCTCCGTGCCACCGCGCGGCCCACATGACGGACTATTTCTTCATTAAACTTTTCCTGAGTGAGTTTAGACCGAGAGTTAGATTTATTTATATTTGCCAATTATTAACATGTATTTTGCTAAAAAAATATTTTTTTTATAAAATATTATATGTAGATTTCTAAAAACTTTACATTATTTATGACATTAATTCATAAATGTAGAAACAAGAAAAGAAAAGAAAAAGTCCCGGTGCTCTGGATGTGATCACTACTTGCCCCTCACTCCTCTCGTCTGCGCTCCTGTTTTAGCTCCGCCCACACGTTGGGAGCAGAGAGGAGCTGTGAGGACAGCTGCTGAGCCCTGGTGAGGCAGGAGGACCTGAAGGAACCCAGTGGACCATTCCACTCAATAACTGTGTACGTTTAATGAGTGATTTAGTTCAAATGAACTCGTAACACACGCCACAAAAACTTCTGCCAAACGTTTGAAGTTATTTTTGACCCAGTATTCTCGAGGCTGGTGTTTCTTTATTCTGACAACACCACGTTACATCTATTCTTTCCTCTATCTCTGTGAACAGATCCAGAATCACCAACGTCCTGCTGCACCTGCACACCTCCATGTTTGTGTGTCTGGTTGGACCAAGACTGTTGAAAAACAACCTAACGTCACTGTCTTCTTTTCCTGATGGGCCAAGAGGTTTGGGGGTTTTTTTTTCTTCTTTTTTACAAATTGATTTAATGTCAAGCTGCACTTAAAGCTCCCTCTGCTGGTAATCATTACTTCAGAAAGACTAATGCAGATGCACCTTGGACAGTTTCAACTTTCTAAAAATATAAAAGTGACTGCAGAAAACGACTTAACGGTGATTGTTATTTTACTCAGAGAAAAAGAACCAAAGGTTCTGGACAGTTCCATTTTTTTGGGACCACTGTAACCATGGAAATGCACTGTAAATTGTATTTGAATAAAGACGATATCCCATAATACACCTGATGGTTGAAATCACTGTTTTATGCCTCATTATGTAATGTTTTAGAAGCGTTAGCAATCATTGGTGCCAGTGACTTGGGTTTGTTTGGTTGGTCGATCTATTAGAGACAATACGGCTACAGATCAAACAATTAGCGGAGTCCTTGAAGTTAGACAGTGAAAATAATGACAGAGGGAGAGAAGGGGGAGAGAAAGGGGTGACAGTGGATCTAAGAGAGGGGGGAAATATGAATGTGTTTGGGGGGAGTTGGAGGTGGGAGGAGGTGCAGCCAAATCAAAAGCTTTTTTTTTTTAAATGGCAACAGGTTGTGAGATTTAAACTGTTAGCACCAACCACGGGCTGTAACTGCAGTCAGCACTGATGCTGATGGAGAGGAAAAAAGAAAAGAAAAGAAAAAAAATCTGATATAAAGCAGCATCAAAGCTGACGCCTGATACTGGCTGCAGGCAAGCACATAAAGTTTAGAAAGGAGGTTACCTCAACACACTCACACACACATATATACACGCACACACACACACACACCAGTGATGTGATGATGCAGATCTTGCTGACGTCCAGGCAGCTGTGAAGTTTGAGGGTCCACTGACCAAGGACTGAGTTCATCTCAGATGTGACACGTTCACGACTTCACCTTCACACACACACACACGCACACATGCACGCACACACATTCTTATTTCATTATGGGTGACCGGGTTAGTGTCAGTGCGCGGCGTGCACGAATATGCTGCTGCTGCTGCTGCCGCTAACTGTATGTGCATTGACCGCACGCGTGTACGCGCAGCCGGGAGCCAGTGACCGTCTCCTTACATCACCATGGCAGCTCCTGTGGCCCTGGTGCTGCGCTGTGAGTCTATACGGCAGGTAGAGAGGAAAAGGCTGAAACTTACCGCAGTCCTCGCACAGCACTCTCTCCACATCCTTCTTCGACTCCGGCTCGCTGGCGTCCACAGGGGCGTAGGACGCCTTGAAAACCAAGGGTTCGGTGGTCGGGTCCATGAAAAAGATATATCTGTGGTCCTTCTCCACCGTGGTGCACGGGGCCTCGGAACCGAAGTCCCCGACGGTGACGAGCTGCTCCTTCTCGAGGCCGCCGCTGTTCACGGGCCACACGTCCAGCACTTTGACATTCACACTGTAGGGCTCCCGGGAGGAGACGTTCTCCGGGGAGGAGCGCACCTCGCCCTCGATGACCACGGCTGATCTGTACGCCTGGTCCTGCAGGGAGTTGAGACTCGGGGCGTAACAGGCGAAGGAGACCCCGATGACCAGCATGGAGAAATGCACTGGATCAAGCCTCATGCCGTCAGCCTGTGCTGTGCTGCAGTGCTGCTGGGCGGCGGAGCGAGCTGGAAGAGAGAGGCGGCGGTGAACGGGCTCCGGCAGAGCAGGCAGGGCAGAGCGGCAGACCGTGTGGAAGTGTCCATGCCATCTGTGTCTGCCGCTGCTTTCCCCATACGGCTGCTGGCCTCGGATGTGGGGACACACACCAGCCTAGGAACCGGAAACGGCCCGCTTCTGCATACTTAAAAATGTGATTGCTGCATTCTCCTTCACCAACCACCCTCCCCCTCTTATCTGCTCCTTTTCCTGAAAGGCAAAACAAGACTCGTAAATTAGCCTTCTCTCAACTCCACGGTAGAAATCTCTCTCTCTCTCTTTCTTTCTCTCTCGCCCTCTCTTTCACTCCCCCTCTCTCTCTCTTTCTCTCCCTCTCTCTCTCTCTCTCTAGCTAATAGGCTAGCATCGCATGGGTGGGCGCATTGCCTCTCTGGAAAGAAAAAAGCAGCTGGTGCGTACAGGGGAATCACAAGAAAACCATACGCAATCCCCTCAAACGCACAGACAAGGTCGCTTCCTTTATCCACCGTTTCCCCCCGCGTCCAAAAGAGTCCCGCTCCTGCGAATCCGTCAGTGGGTGACCAGGGTTAAAAAACAAAAAACAAAAACCAAACAGAAAAAAAAGAGAGAGAGAGCAAAAAACCGGAGAAGAAGATAAGGTAGCAGCGGTTATCCGGTGAGGCGATGCAACAGCAGCGCGCAGCCTCCAGCCGCGTCCCCTGCGCCCCTCATCAAACGCCAGCGACTTACGTGAGCAAACATCACCTGCCCGGTCAATGGCGTCGGCTCGCCACGTCCTGCGCAAACATCCTAACGACCCGGCCGAGCACCGGCGCACCACCACATCCACCAGCAAGCCAACCGGCATGTGACCATGCCGGGCCGACTGCGTTAAAGTCCCCCCTCCGCGCGGGTGCAGGAGGAATCACGCAGCACGGCGCGCACAGACACAGCAGCAGCGGAGAGAGTGCGGTCTACAGACCAGCTCTGCACCGCCGCCAGCTGTGGGTTTCCAGTGTAAGAGGTGTGAGGGAGGCAGGCTATAGGCGACGACCGCGGCGCTGCTGCTGCACACACTGCGGATAGTTGTTGCGATGACTAACGCTGCGAAAATCTCTCAATGGATTCTTCAGGAT